AAGTGAAGCTGCTGCTGCATTTGGAAATGATGGAGTTTATTTGGAGAAGTACATTCAGAATCCAAGGCACATAGAGTTCCAGGTGATTATTCTGTGCTTTGTATAATTTTTTTGGGTATAACCACCAATATTCCATCCATTGGCCGACTAATTTGGACCGTGTACTGTAAAGCCCCATTATGGGAGCAATCCTCCCAACCTAATTTGTGCCATTCACAACGTCATGGTTTGAATCCTGGATGTTGTTTATGGGGTCTAGTATATCATACCACTAGACCAATTGGTAGTTGGATACTTTGTATAATTTCACTCCTCTTCATGTGCTTGAATCAATCATAATAATATAAATCTGGAGGCGGTCTTATAAAAAATAAATAAATCTGGAGGCGGTCTAGTTCTGTGCACCTTAATAGCTAGTACGTTTCTTGGTAACTTCATATAATTTGTATATGTAACATTAATAATGAGTACTGACCAATTGGTTAAGCCATACTGCCCTGTGCTTCATATCCTTTGTTAAAAGTATTGACTATGTGCAAGTTTTTAATTTTCTTGCTCTATTTTTATGGTTTTGCAGGTTCTCGCAGATAAATATGGTAATGTTGTTCACTTTGGTGAGCGTGATTGCAGCATCCAGGTACTACTACTACGTTTAGTTCTCTCTAACTTATCTGCATCTTGTTTTTCAAACCAAATTTATAAAGAAATCACTTTTAACAATTAGAAAAGAGTTCATATGAATGCTGAAGTTTCATGGAATAGCAAAACAATCTGTATTTACTCATTTAGAGTTTTTAAACTTTCTCCATTCCTCCAAGTTCTTTGGGATGTGGGGCACATTTGAAAAATCTTGCCTGCTTATGTTTATGGCTGGTCAAGGTTCGCGTACTTTTTGCTTTAATCAATTTACAAATTTGATTGTGAAAGTAAGCGAATTCCTTGAAGAATTAAAAGTTACAAATTTAATTTTAATGAATAACTAAAAGCATGACTTTACTGTTAATGAAACAACTGTGTGTAAATTGATGCTCATTTTAAAACGTTATGCACTATTAACATATATAGCCTTCTTCACTTTTAGTATTTGACTTTTATATTTTATACCAACTTTAGGAAAGTAAAAATAAGTAGCCAAAGTAACACCTGATGGAGCCTAAATAACTATATGGACTTTTGGGAATACTTTCAGGCTAGAAGCCCCTAAGCAGAACTTGACTCGTTAACCCTTGGATGGCTTTATCAACTCTGATTTTCAAGCCATTTCCTGTTGGAAATTAAAGCATCTTAGGGTCGTCCGTTTTCACTGAAAACATTTTCCGGAAAATGTATTCTGGAAAATGAATTACATTTTCTGAAAATCATTTTCTGGAAAACATTTTATGATATTTGGAAGATTTGTTTAAACGCTTTTTCACTTGTTGATGAATTTTTTAAAAATTATTTATTACAAATATTAAATGCAATAAATAATATTATTTATCATAAAACTTAATATTATTATTTTTAAAATATTAAAATAATTTTTTTATTATTAAAATATTATATTTATAATTTTATTAATAAAAATATTAATATTGGTATTTTATTGAAATAAAAATATTATAAATTATATTAATTATTTATTAAGTAATAGTGTTATATTATATTTTAAAAATATTAATTAGTATATTTAAATATCTTTATTAAAATATTATTAGATTATTATATTAATATTAAATATAAATAATATATTCATTATTTATAATTAATAATATTATTTCTATGAAATTAATAAATAATATAAATTTTATTAATAATTTATTATTATTAAAATAAAAATATAATATCCTATATTATATTATTATAATATAATTGATTATTTTATTATAATATTAAAAATATAATATTATATTATTATAAATATTAATAAATATATTTTAAACATTTTAATAATTAATATTTTGATTAAAATGATATTAAAATATTTTATTAATATTAAATTCAAAAAATAAAATTATTTTGAGTATTTATTCTTTGAAGTGAAAAGTTCGGAAAATGACGTACGGAAAATCAGACCGTAAGTCATTTTCTAGAAAACACAAAGGAAATTCTCTTGACCAGTAAAATATTTTACGTTGACCAACCAGTTTTCCTCCAACCAAATATTGGAAAATGAGGAAAACATTTGCCGAAAAACGTTTTACGCGAAACAAACGGACCCTTATTCTTGATAATAGCCCCCAAATACAGCACCCTTCTCTTAAAAGGAGCAACTATGCTTATGAAGTCAAAAGTATTGTAGATATTTCTCAATTCTTTGCTGCAGTTTACGGATATTAACCAATCTTTTGGCAGCACAATGTTATTTCTATCCCCCTTGCCTCTTAATTGTTAAAGAAAGAATAACTAGATTAATGACACAAAATGTGTTGAATGTAACTTGATTACTGACACAAAATGGGTTGAATGTAACTTGTTATTCAGAGACGGAACCAAAAACTTCTAGAAGAGGCTCCTTCTCCAGCATTGACACCAGAGTTACGGAAGGCCATGGGTGATGCAGCAGTTGCTGCAGCAGCTTCTATTGGTTACATTGGTGTAGGAACTATTGAGTTTCTTTTAGATGAAAGAGGTTCCTTCTACTTCATGGAGATGAACACTAGAATCCAGGTTGAATAACGACAAGGAATTATGATTCATGAATTACCTATGAGCAGATTAATTATAAGTACTGCTAATCATGTATTTTTGTCAATTGAACTCAGGTGGAGCATCCTGTAACTGAGATGATTTCCTCTGTTGACTTGATTGAAGAACAAATTCGTGTAGCTATGGGAGAAAAACTTCGCTATAAACAGGTATGAAATTATATGTTTCAGCTAATAGTTTTGGAGCATCATACATGATATATTCAACTGTACATATGATTTGCAGGAAGATATTGTGCTCAGAGGGCATTCAATTGAATGTCGTATCAATGCTGAAGATGCATTTAAAGGGTTCAGACCTGGACCAGGTATGTCCTATTTTCTGTTTTTTGTGTTCATTTGTACTTACTATTGCAGTAGATTCCGCTTTCTAATATCAGAGCTTTTACAGTGTTGCTACTATCATTCAAGCTTGCATATGCTTATATTAACATTATAGACTATATCATTTACTTATTATATTAAAATATGTTTTATACTTTTGAAGTTGATACACAAATCTTTCCTCAATTTCTACTGAACGTTCTCAAGGAACCAAAAGAGTAGGGAGGAAATGGAAGTACTTTGTCTAATAGTTTGATATTTTACACTCCTCTGATTTCTCAATGACAGGGAGAATAACATCATACTTACCATCTGGAGGCCCATTTGTTCGAATGGACAGCCATGTTTATCCTGATTATGTAGTTCCTCCAAGCTATGATTCATTACTTGGAAAGGTCAGTAATATCCGTCTTTTATGAGCAATTTGATGCAAACCCTTAAGGTCAATATTATGGAAGATAAGAAAATCCTAAAACTTTGTTTCTTGAAATAGTAATAAAAATACAACATTTTTTTTTAATTTCAAGGTGCATATGGTAAACTGAATTATCTCAATTTTGCTAAGGCAATTCTTAACATGGTAAAATATAAGCAAAAACTTCCAAGGAGAACTGCATGTATGTTTGATTCATGTATCTGAAAATGGCCATGCTTATGGGCTGCTTCTCTAGCTTTGATATTGTTCTAACTATTTACTCTAATGTAGCTTATCGTATGGGCTCCAACAAGAGAAAAAGCAATTGAGCGCATGAAAAGGGCACTTGATGACACTGTGATTACAGGTACTTGTTTATTGACGAAGGTTTACTATATTTTTTGTTTCATGAACTTTATTATTTTCTATCATCAGCGTTTTCATATATCTTTAGTCAATTATTGTAAACATTCACATGCATAAGGTTACATGGGACATGGGAGAAGAAACCTATAACTAGAAAAAAAAGACTAAGCATATGTTTGAGAGTATTCACGTTCATTGACCATTGTCAGTGTGTCTTCTGTTGGTCCTAATCTGTACTTTTTCGTTTCAGGGGTTCCTACAACAATTGAATACCATAAACTCATCCTTGATATTGAGGTTGGTATATTTTGTTAATGTTTAATTGGAGAATATTATACTTTTTGGTAAAAAGTATTCAATCTAACATGCAACACTTTACAGGACTTTAGAAACGGAAAGGTTGACACTGCTTTCATTCCAAAACATGAAGAGGAGTTGGCCGCGGTAAGAACTTGCTTTGTTTTCAATAAAAAAAGTTCAAAAATGCAAAAAAGCTTATAACACTTTGTTTCATGTCTGCAGCCTCAAAAAATGGCAGTCACAAAAGAATTGACTAGTGCGGCTGCTTAGAAGGGTTGGCCATCTTCTTCGTTGCCATCTTCTTCGTTGCCATCTTCTTCGTGGTCATCATCTTCAGCTTTTGTAGTATAAGCCATGTAGCTGTCTTGTTGTTTGAGATGTTGGTAGTGGAAAAGCCATTCTTTTCATTGATGATTCTGAGACGTGAAACTACATCCCAGTTAGAAGAGTGGGGTTCATCAAGCTTCTGTTTGCTGTTCAGCTGACATTCTAAAATACATTGTCTAGTGGCATGTTTTGTTGCTCTTCTGTTTTTCAACTGTGATGTTCTTGTAAGTACGCTAGTAATTTTTATAGTGCTTTGAACATTTTATGGCAGGGAAGTAAGTGCAAAACTAATAGCCATACATTTCCAACATGTTGATTTTATTTTGTTCATTACTGCCGAACTATAATACTCATAGGATCTGAACTCTTCATAATAATATATATAAATATGCTAAGATTTTCCCACATACAATAAGCTGAAAAGCCTTGAGATTCTGAAGGCCAAAAGGAAAACGAAATATCATATGGTTCTTGTTCCACTCGGATGCTGAAACTGAAACTCAAAATCCTACCAAAATTCTGCAGTTGCCATCTTTCTTTTCATTTATTTGTTCATTTCTTTATGTATCATGTATAAGTAATGATTAAGTAATAGTCTATGCCACGGCAACCACGGTGAACAACACATGCGGGCCAGAACAGTGGGGTGCAGACTCGGAGAGTGGTTTCTTCCTGGCTTCAGCCCTACATGCTTGTTTGTGATTATCATCCTTTGTAATTTGCTTATAACGGCACTCATCACTGCAAAATGCCTTCTCCCCTCTGCCAATCCAATGTTTTATCAGTGAAAAGATTCTTTGATGCCATCAGTATCAATCTATTATAATATTCCCCAAAAGCAAAGGAAACACAGGCTGGCTTTGGGGACACCAGGAAAGGAAATTTTGTCTTGTTGAAAAGTTCAAAAGTTGACAATCAATCACACACACACACAAGCAGCAGATGTATATATCATTCATTATTATATTTCACTATCAAAAAATATCTCAAGCAAACGGGCATAACCACTAAAATTCAGGAATAAATTGACCATAAACAGAACAAAGACAAGTTTTCCACCCAATTAAAATGACTCTTCACTTTACATTAAGTATTCTGTTGGCCAAATAAATATCCGGCAGGCATTGATATGTAGGTCTACAATACTCCCCAAGTTCAAGTAATATGTCAACCAGGAAAAGGAACCAAGGTTTTGATCCAGAAGACACAACAGGGATGTGTAATTTTACAATGAACCCTTTTCTTCATATAGATGCTACTTCAATAACGTCCAATTAGTCAGATGGTGACGATGTTTGATTATATGATAAATCCTTATTTTCAAGTCAATTTTTTAAGTGATTTAACATGACTGAATAGAAACTTTGAACTTTATAACAATGAAACATCAACATCCAAAATTTATGGCATCTCAATTCATCTTCCAAAGGAAAAAGTAACAAATGCAACTCAATACATCACTAACAAATCACAATGCAACAGGCATTATTTGCTAGATATTTAACAAATGAAATGGCAGTAAAAACTAAAAACACAATCAAAATTAATTATCCCTTACAGCGACGGTTGATATAGCAGTCAGCATGCTAATGATTTCAAAGATACAGCAAGGATTGTAAAGAGGTAGATTCTACGGTGCTAAAGTCTATAACAAACTTGCTTACGACTTATAGTAAGTAACATTGACTGCATACAGACCAGTTTACTCTTAAACAGAACAGCTTAGGAAACTATCGGAACTAGCACAACTGTGATACTAAAATGGAGTTTATTTACCATAGTAAGGTGCTGCTGCACCCTTGATATTTATTAGAATCAGATCAAAACTTTCAATAACACACTCGTGCGAAGGCTGATACTATATGGCCAACCAAAGCCGGCTTACTATTCAAACAATGAAAAAGCCCCCTGTCGACGAATACTCATTGTTCTCCTGTCATAGCATTTCGTATTAGATCCTACTTTGGATCCTTAGATATGTTTTCCAAAGATAAAGCCTTTGAAGAAACTACAGTTAATTACTTAACCAAGATATTCAATTCTACTCAATAAAGCTGATTCCAAAAAACTCCATAAAACTAATCAACAAAAACATATACAAAATCATATCCAAGCAATCGTTACATCTTTTTATGCATCAATTCCTAGTAAATCAGCAAAAGCATCGTCGAGAATCAAAACCCAGTATTACTGAAAACATAAATCAATCAGAAGATTATCAAAATTCAATACCTGTACATGAAAATATCCAAACCAAGGAGCTCCTTCATGCAAAGATGACAAGAAGTCAGAAAGTCATCACTCCAAAACTCCCTCTTGAATTGACCCATAACAGAAGAAGAAGCGGTGAAAGCCCTGTAACTGTTGCTATTATAGCCGGAATGAGAAATTACACAAGTGGGGTTCTGAGATAATTCATGGGAATTCTCCAAATTAAAGACACATCGGGAATTGGGTGCTGCTTTAACAGATTGGACTATAGGCACGGAGGTGGGGGGATCTCGGCGGCGGAGCAAAGCAAATAGGCTGGCGAGTATAGGTTTGATGCAGGGATCCGAGACAGATGATGTTGAGCTGTCAGATTGCACGTTGATGGCGCTGAGATACCATGAGTTGGCAGATCAGCGCAAAGGCGAGAATTGATTGTGACATGTTTCTCATTGGGGTCGTTTTGAGTATGTTTCAGTCTTTTGGCCATAACTTTGGCTACAGGTGTCAGAATCGCGTATAAGACCCCAATCCGGAAAGCTCTTTTCGACGCGCACGCTCTCATGGAGCTACGCTCCATGTGGCCTTTTTTTTCAACCTCAAATTCTGTCGTTTTCTCCTCCGAATCACTAGATTTAGTTATTTTTTACTATTTATAGTAATATTTCGATTGTTAATTAGGAAGTCAATTTAAATCCGATTTAGGCCGGATTTTTGGGAGATTGCTTATTTTATTTCGAATTTCAATTTAGAGTGATTTTCGGGATTTTGCTATTTTTGGCAAAATTCGAATAAAGACGATTTTTTTGCTATAACAGTCCGGCTTGTGGACTGCTTTTTGGGATTGTTTGATTTTATAATATTTTATTAAACCCTAGAGACTTTTTTTCTCTGGTTTTTGGGCGAATTTTCTCTTGTGAATCGTCTGTCGAAACTAGCCTACAGGATAATCACTATTCTGTCTGGCGTCAAGGTTTCATCAGTCATAGCCGCCACTATGCCTAGCCCAACCACTCCGTCTTGGAAGTTCCTTGTGGACTTCGTTGGGGAGAAAGACTCGGAAAAAGTGGTGAACAGGTTGAGATTGATGGCGGGTCTCTTTTTCCCACCAAATTTTTCCGTTTCGATTCAATTCAATTCAATTCATAGGATTTTGTTGGGTCGTAATTACGGAAGTTATAAGAGATTGAAGCAAGGGGAAAAAACGCAAAGGAGTGAATTAGAAGTAAAGAGATTCGTTTCTGAATGAGAAAGATGAAGAGAGAGAGAGAGAGAGAGAGAGAGAGAGAGAGAGAGAGAGAGAGACGAAAGCTTTATTTATTTTTATTGTTTTCAATGAATCGGCCCTCTTTCTTCTCTTCCTTCCCCCTCTTCTCCTTGCTCAGAACATATAAACAATTTGGTGGCTAAATTAAGGAAAGGGTCTTCCTCACCGAATTTTAAATTTTTATCTTATTTTACTTATGGCATGCTTTTTGACAAAAAAAAATCACCTTTAAAATAAAATATTACTGATCAGTTATCGAATTAAAAAATTTTCTCGATCTAACAACTGAGATAAAGAGATGCGTTTGAGGAGATGCACGTTACCAGGGCAAATAGTAAGGCACACCCGATGAAACACATCTTACCTACAAAATCGCTTAGATTGGCTATCCCCTAGAAGAAGCATGCCTGGGGATGCGGCTTTGGAAGGCACATCTCACGGGATGCACCTTTCACTTAATTTTCTGACAGGCGCTACCCCTAGGGTGTGCCTTCCGTCTTTCACGCCCCCCTTTACCGCCCGAAATTTCATGTCTAAACCTTTTCGCCCGATTTCTCCCGCGAAACTCCCCAACCCACTCCCTATATAAACTTCATTCCACAACTAAAAATTACTAAATTCTATCTTCTTTCAATCTATTATATATATATATAAACAATGTATAATTGTTTATATAATTATTTAGTTTTTAGTATTTTTTTTATTTTTTATTTTGTGTTTATTATAAACTAATTTAATTAATGTTTTTAATTGTAGGTAAAAAAATGGAAGGCACATTGTTGCGATTGGATGTTGAACATATTTCGAGTCATTTTACGGATACGGTAAGAATACAAAATTATATTCTTTTTAAATTTACGAATATTATGGAATCAATTATATATGATTTAAATTGTCCGAATTTATTTAAAAAACACAGAAATAGTACTTCAAATTTTAAAGCTCATAATTTATTTGTTAGGAAAATGATCATATATTAGAAGTTTTTATTTGCAATCAGAAGATGACAACATCGAGGCGTTAATGGCCATATTTTATCTATGGATGGATTCAATTACTTAGCAAAAGTTAAAGGAGGTTGTAAACTTGTACCCGCCTTGATTTATGCACTCATTGAGAGATGGAGGCCAGACACACACACGTTTCATCTACCATGTGAGGAGTGCACGATTACACTGGATGATGTTTCAATGCAACTTGAGCTATCGGTAGATGGAACTGCCATATGGTGTGGTAGATGATGATTGGGGGGTCTATGCATAGAGTATCTTGAGAAAACGCTACCCAGTTTCAACAGTGGTCGAATAAGATTACTGTGGCTGAAAAGTGAATTTAAAGAATTTCCCGGAAATTATTCGAAGGAAGACGCAAAAGCATTTTGTCGGGCATATATTCTACAACTCATTGGAGGGATATTGATGCCAGAAAAATCTTGGAATCAGATGCATTATATGTGGTTGCAACATCTGATTGATTTTAAAGAAGTCATCATATTGAGTTGGGTGCATGCGGTGTTGGCATTTTTATTTAGAGAAATGTGTCGGTCAAACAAATATATTAAGATTGTTATTGGCGGGTGTCTCATGCTTCTCTAATCGTGGGCATGGTATCGCATACCTTTTTTGTGCCCGATCGTGAATGACTCATATGCATGTCTATTATTGTCAATGTATCAAGAGTAAATATATTTTTAAATAATATTTCTTTATTATTATAGAATGACATATATATATATATTTATATATATATTTATATTAATTATATGGTCAAATAAAAGGAAAAATCATCATGATATCCCACAAGAATTAGAAGATATCCGATTATTGATTGACCAGAAAGTTGGTGGAGAGGTACGCTTTTTATTATCATTTTTGATTTAATTGTATCGATATAATTTGAATCTCATTTTAATTTGATAAGAAATCTATATTTTTTTGTTTTAGTTCAAATGGTTGTCGTATTTGGATGATGAATTGAGGGTTTGCATTCCATTTAACTTGAGTGGGATATTGGATGGATGGATGACAATTGTGCCCCTTATTTGTTATGCTATTGTTGAGTGGCATCCAATTGATCGCTTGCTTCATCAATTTGGTTTTACACAATATTCCTGAACCAGTAAACATGGACAACATGCATAACGTTGATAGGTAGGGCAAGAAAGAGGTGAATTGGTTGGTGACATGGGAGATCCGACATCAACGCTTTCCCCATCGAAAATATATATCAGAAATTGGTTGCATGGTTTCACCTGGCTATATAGAATGGTTCAACATAAATGGGAAGTCATTCTTACTTTTGGAGGAAAACCGAGGGGCGTCAATTCATCGTCAGTGGCCAAGACGTCTGACATCACAACATCATCGTCCCCTATTATAGGATGAAGAGCGTACGCTTTCGGGTCGTCTGCATCTATGCCACCGGGACTTTCACACCAACTGCCAGTGACACCAATATACATCTCTAGCCCTCCATCTTACATGGGGACACTACCTCACTTTTAGACGCCCTCGCTGTCAGTTTATATGCCATATCCACCAATTAAGATTCCAAATCCGTTGGTTCATAAGCCACAACCGTATGGATAAGCACAGAGGCTGTAGAGTTTTATGACACTCCCTAGCGGGTTTTTTTGTCTATGCTTATAGATCTGACATTCAATTCCCACGCGAGTTATCTTGCGGGTGGTCCTCCACCAGAAACACTATGCTCGCAGTATGTGTCATATATATCGATGTCTGGTTTTTCACATTTTTCACTATTCTTAGGGAGTGGTGGGATAGTCAGTCAAACGCTTCTAGAATCCTTATTCTACTAAGGTGATACATCGACATTGACCCCTTACTGAGATAATGTTATTGAGACCGAAGATGATGATGAAGACAACGAGGATGATGACAATGATGATGATGAGGAAGACAGTGAAAAGGAGTAGCAACAGATAAGAAGAAACCATTCTCGAACTAAACGACTACCACATTATGGAACACATTCTAGGAGACATCGATAGATATAATAAAATTGTAATGTTTTTATCAATTATTTCTTTATTATGTATTTGAATCTTATTTTGTTTTTTAATGTATTTTGTATCAAGTTGTTATGCTTATTTTTATGTATTTATTATTTCTTTTTATGTTTTTTTCGTTTATTTGGTTTTTCCATTTTGTTATGTTTCTTTATTTGTCATTCTGTATTTATATAAAGTATGTTTTTTTTAATGATGTTTAATGTTTTTTAATGAAAAAAAGACAAAGAGGATACATTAAATTGGGTAGGCTTGTTTTATAGGACGCACTTTGTAAGGGGTATATTATGTGTGAGGTGAAAGCTAATTTTAATCTATCAAGGCAAATGCTTGAGTTGTTCAGCTAGGATGGCTTCTATTCAGGCAAATGTTTTTTTCATTGCAAAAATTTAAGCATATCTTTCAAAAAAAAATAACTTGAGGAGTTGAAGCGTAAAATATAAATAAAGGTTAAACTCAGGAGGAAAAGAAGAATCTCTTTGCTATATTATAGGTTGCCTGTTTTATTTAAGAAGTTTCTTCTAAGCGACGATGTTGACTTTTTTGGAATGATTGAGACGTACTACTCTATTTCTGTATCTCATGTGGATTTGTTTGTAGAGTCTGATGATGTTGATGATGATGCTTCGAGTTCGACTACCAAACACATAAAACTGAATGAGTTCGAGAACACATAGATAGATGTTGATGACCCATATGCATGGTTCAAACATAATTGGGTATCGTAGCAGCATTAAAAAATCTATTTTAGGATGCGTGTATGCTTATATTTACTGTTTAAGGTGTATTACTATGCTTTATTTACTGTTTAAGACGTGTATTTTTAACTTGTTGGTTTGATATTCTTAATGTCATGATTAATAGTTTGTTGTTTAATGTAATGTTCATGGTTTGTTGTTTTTATAGTCCAAATCTATAACAAATTTCGCATTGAATTTAATTAGTCATACTAAGAACAAAATCAATTACAATATTGCTTTCATGATTCCAGAAACAATAAAAATAACCTCTAAATGTGCCATCACATGTACAATATGTTTGTGGAATCTTTTTTATATAAGAAACCGAGAATATTTTGGCAATAGTTGACATATTCATACTTTTGCGGGGAGAAGCTTTTTCTTCATCTTTAAATGCATTGGGCTTAGGAAGACAACACTTGATACCTTATTGCAGCTTCTTTTTATGTGAAGCAATCAAATTCCTAAAGCCTAAGTTGTTTTGATGACACCTATGGTAAAGGCTTCCTTCAAGATATGACAACTAAGTTCAACAGTGACACAATATTTGGAAAAAACACTCCACTATACCTTCCCTAAACAATACATCTGGATTTCTGGAAACATAAGCCTTTTGTACGAACCATTCACAATGATCCAAGGGTTTCAATACATACTGATGAAGTTGAACATTTGCAAATATGATTTTGTAATTGGATGCCAAGCAAAAGTCCCAACAAGTTAAACGAATGTGGAGAAAGTCCTCAAAAGAATTGTAAGCAATGCTACATAAACTCTTAACTAATATCATTTGGGAGATAAGATAATGAACATTTAGCTGCATTGAAAAAATGGAAAAGTCTATGAAAATGATATATAATATAATAATAAATAAAAATGGAAGGTAAAGTACTGAGGACCGCTTGCTTTATCTTTTATATATATAGTGTCTAACGTTGGATAAGATACAATCTGAAGAAAAAGAAAGGCGTGTTTCAATTGAAGAGTTCCCGTCCTGCCAACAGATAAAACTTCAGTTCACTGATATTCTAAGAAAAAAATATACCGACAAGAAAAGTCGCATTCCAAGGGATGCATTTTCCCATTATTATTCAAAGAATCTGTTGAACTATGTTTTGATATAACAATTTATGGCAAAATATTTTTGGACTTAAATTGAATTTATTTAAAGTTTTCAAAGATTATAAAAATAATTCAAAATCAATTTAATTTGGAATTGAGCACAAAATTGTTTTTATAAATAGTATTGTGATATATGAATAGTATCGGTACTGTATAAATAGTTCCGATACTATGTGAACAGTAATGAACAATACCAATGCTAAAAAACATCGAATGTAAAATTGTGTATCGATACTGCTACAGTGTATCGATACATTGCTACAGTATTTTCAGCCCAACGATCATAAAATTCAAATTTTATGAAGGGGTACCGATACACCTTAATAGTGTACCGATACACCCTGTTATGGGCATTTTTATTTTGCAGAAAATAAATCCCCAACGACTCCAAAACATCCCCAACGGCTATATACTACTTCAAACTCATTACAACTTATAAATACATGTTCAAGACACTTGAAGAATAAATAGAACACCTATCCAAACATTCAAACATAAGAGAATAGTTTTTCAATCTTATTTTTTCTATTCTCTTGTAAATATTTGTTCTTGTAAGCTTAAATTTTGTAAACACCTACCTTAGAGAGGTTTTCTTGTTTACATTTCTTTTCCTTTTGTAAAGGGTTTTTGGTTCTAGCTGAGCCTATTAAAAGCTAGAGATTGGTTCTAGTTTAGCCATTGAAAAACTAGGGAGTTGTAAAGGTTATCTCTTTGTCCTTGAAAAATAAAGAACAAATTAGTGAATTTGTTGGAAAATCCTTGGTGAGGAGCTAAGGTAGTGGATGTAGACTTGTTGAGAAGTCGAACCACTATAAATCGCTGTGCAATTTTTTATCTTTCAATCTTCTTACTCCCTAAACACAAAAACCATTCTGACCCCTCTTTGCAAACCGATTCGGTTGATGATTCGAGCACCCGAAAATCCCAATAGAATCTCTAGATTATAATAGTGATCCATCTAATCCAAAATGAAAGGCATGTTATAGGGGAAACATTTTCCCATTATTATTAAGGATCACTAGATTATAATAGTGATCCATTCTATCCGAAATGAAAGACGCTTTTCGAGGGAAGCGTTTTCTATTATTATTCAGAGAATCTGTGCCATGTCAAGTGTTGCATCCTATTCGAAATGAAAGGCATGTTTTGGGGAAAGCGTTTTCCATTATTATTCAGAGAATCTCTGCCATGTTAGAGTGTTCCATCCCATTCGAAATGAAAGGCACGTTTCGGGGAAAACGTTTTTCATTATTATTAAGAGAATCTCTGCCATGTCAGAGTGTTCCATACCATCTGAAATGAAAGAAGCATTTCAGGGAAAGTGTTTCCATTATTATTCATAGAATCTCTGCCATGTTAGAGTGTTTCATCCCATCTGAAATGAAAGGCGTGTTTCGGGGAAGGCGTTTTCCATTATTATTCAGAGAATCTCTTCCACTTCACATAATTGACATGAATTGTTCCCCGACCTTAAACATATTAAACTCTTAAATTCTAAAACTCAATAACTCTGAATTCTCAAACTCTTAAACATTCAAAACTTCAAACTTTGAAAAGCTCAAACTACGAAAATGGCTTATATTTCAGCTATTGTTTACTACGATGGAGAAATCGAGGAAGATCAATATGGGGTCATTTTTCGATCAAATCATTATATTCTTCTTTCCTTCAAGAGAAACATTACTCTTCACGATTTAACAAGAAAAATCTCAAAGAAGGCTTGTGTTGGAAACAGTAGAAGACTGGCTACACTTCAGTACAAATTTTTGACAAAATTTTTCCGTTAATATATAGATTGTTCAATCTCTCGAACGACGATGATGTTACCATGATGGTTGATGCTTCTAGTCAAAATTCAAACTCTATTATAGAAATGTATTCCACTTTTGTTGACGCACATGCAGTTTTGGGTATGCCCTTCTCATCCCAATATGGATTTTCTGAACCTATTGATCAAGTTGATAGTCTAACTTAAATAATATATAATGATTTCACGTTATTAATGGCTAAACCACCTCCTGTTAGCATTCCATCAAGTTACAGGGGAAGATGTATTCCACTTTTATTGACACACATGCAGTTTTGGGTATGCCCTTCTCATCCCACTATGGATTGTATGAACCTATTGATCAAGTTGATAGTCTAACTTAAATAATATATAATGATTTCACGTCATTAATGGCTAAACCACCTCCTGTTAGCATTCCATCAAGTTCCAGGGGAATTCATTCAACTACTACTTTTTTCAACCTCAACATAGAGATGCCTTCTAGTTCCAGGGAAAGACATTCATATGCCAGCACCTTCGACCTTGATATGGCCATGTCTTCCACACAACACTCAATTCATAACCCATATGGTGACATCTCTTCAAGTTCCAGAGGAATGTATATATCTGGGAACTTCTTCGAACAAAACATCGGAGTCACAGAAGAACCATCATCTCCTCCAGAAGAACTTCTTCGTGAGCCAGGAGCAGATGATGTTGAAACTAGATTATTCGTTGAACCCGAGTCACCATAATTCAACATGGACTCTGATGATGATACAAATGAAGTTCCTACAAAAAAT